ATGTGACAGGACTTAAACGCATACATCTTCTTACCAATTCATCGCTTTGAGAAAAGACAACTGTCACCAGACAAACCTTGTGAATTCTGAAATTTCGACAATGATTCCTTATAGATATTAAGGCTTGCTCCTGGTTCTTGGTGACATGCTAAATTCAACAGCAACAGCACAGACAGTGAACCAAGGGAAGCTGGTGGAACAGTCTCGTTATCGTCTTCTGCTGATTCTAAATCGTCGAAACCGGTAACCATTTGAACAGCAGACCAAACGGAAGCTGAAATAAGCACGAATGTTTGAACAAACTTCAGCTTAGAACATCTCGCCTAGCTAGTTTTACCAAAGCTACCAAAATCGCCTGAACGGTCGGCATGAAATTCGGTATTAAAGACGGAAATGATAGATGCATCCATACAAGATGCAATTATAATGAATCTTTTTTGCTGGCTCCCACTTATCTTTAGTTAGTATCTCAAGTCCCTACAGAAAAAACTTTGTCGGAAGCGTACTGGCTGCGGGTACGAGGATGCGTTTTTTGCACAGTTCCCCCGCAGGTTTTTTTCACCAGTGGCACGCTCTTCCCGGCAGATGCTTCTAGCTAAAAGAATTGTGACTGGCCACCACGACTGTTGGAAATCATTACAATCACTCCCAATCCATGCCCAACAAATCCAGCCCTCTGGATGCTTCGGTTGCGGAGTCACACCAAATTTCACGTGTCCGATGTGAGTAGCAAAGTGAGTGCCTTCTTTGCTTGCAGTTACTAAAACACGGCCCTGGGTAGCGCCCAGAAAGTTCCAGCATCCCAGCTGCTCTGGTTGCAGAATTACGTCAAATTTCACGTGTTCGCATGTAAGTGGCAACGTGAGTGCTTTCTTCGCCCGCGACTGGTCAAACACGGTCTCGGGCGAAGCTCAGAAAGTTTCAGCACTCCAGCTGCTCTGGTTGCGGAGTCACGTCAAATTTAACGTGTGTACACGTGTTCGTACGTGAGATGCAGAAGGGCTGACAAGTAATTTACTTTCACCGGCACAACAGTGGGCGACAAGTAACGCTGCAGAATTGCAGCTCTCTGCAGCTCATTGGTCACCTTAAATCTGGAGTTGGCACGATGCCAGCTTAAACTTTGATGTGTGCGTACGTGGGCCCTGACGGTGCGTGAAGGCTAAATTTGAAATCTTTGGATTTGACGCGGCCAAAGAACAACTCTGTGAAGTTTCAGCCTCCTAGCATGGGCCGTTCCCGAAAACGCATTCCCACCAAAAAAACTTTCACGTGCTCCCACGTGAGAACCACGTGGGCCTGAGCGTCCATTTCGAGGATACGAGCCCGCACGTATGTGTAGATTAAGTCACCAAATTTTCAGCCCTGTAGTTTTTGTGGATCTCGAGATGAAAGCTCGTTACAGAAGCATACACAGACACACACACGCACACACAGACAACCCCTCAACAATATGCGTTTTTGTACTGCATAGCTGCAAAAAATCGCATAAAAAACACGTATCTGGAACATAAAAAAGCTCAGAGCGATAAAAATTTGAAACTATCCCAAACCTGCGATGCCCAGAACAATACTTTCCGGTTCCTTGTCCGGCTTAACCACATATGGAGTATTTCGGTGTAAATAATTCGTTAGCAAGGCACGCGTTAGTTCCAGTGATCGAGCTGAACTGAAAACATCCCAAGCTGATTTGGAACAGCGGGCAAACAAAACAGAACAGAGACAGGTAAAGTTGAACTGTAGCTGAGCTGAAATACGGCTCAAATGCGGTAAAAGGATTCATCTGACGCTGATACAGAAAGAACTAAGAAAGAATGGATGTGCAGTTAGGCCAATGCTGGTGAAAGGAAGACGGTGCAACAGTGCCTATTTAAAGTATTACAGTAAAGTCCACAAAGTAGTAACCTCTGCTTGCAGCCTAGAACTAAAGAGCCCGGCGCAGCTGAAACCGGCATGATAAACGCATCCCAGAAACATTAGCAACACGTGTGTTTCTACATTTTGGTAACAGAAGTAAGAAAATGCAACCCAGGATGGAACGCACCAGGCGGGCCGGTGCGATTATGCGTTTTTGCACTTTCGTACCGTAGCAAGATCGCA